AGCAGGCAGGGCGAGGCGAGGAGGGTGCGGCGGCGGCAGTGGTCGGCTGCCCCTCCGCCCGGCCCTGGTCTGGCTTGGCCGGCTGGCTGGCTGCCCTGGCCTGGCTTGGGCCTCGGCGCCTCTCAGTCACCACCACAGCCCGAGGGCGGCAGGCCAGGCCGGGCGAGTGGAGAGGCCAGGCTGCTGGGCGGTCGAGCCAAGGCCCACCCACACAAAAAAGCGCAGCTTGGCCCGGCACAGCCCAGCCTGCCGCGCGAGAGGCGAAATTTCCATCCAGCCTGGCCTGCCAGCCAGGCGGCCCTCGGGCAGGCCGACGCGGCCCCTTGCCGGCCAGCAGGCAGGCCAGGGACGTCACCGCCAGGCTTCCCGCCAGAGGCAGGCCCGAGCGCCAGCCCGCCCGCATCTTGATCTGATCGAAAGCGGGGCGGGGCCAGGCCAGCCAGGCAGGGCAGGCTCCATGGGGAGAGACGTCGAGCGTCCAAGCGTACATCGGGCATCACCCCTCACGCGTGCAATCGGGACGCGACGCGATCCAGCCACCCGCAACGCATCTCGAACAGGTCCCTCTGAACTCCTTCTCGTCCAGAGACCCGAACATGTCAAGCATCCACCACGGCAGAGGGAATGCGACGCAGGCCAGCCAAAGAACGACCTGCAGTTTGACGGTGCACAAGGTCCAATGGGACGGGAGTAGGGGTACGAGGAGGCGTCGATGGGTCGTTGAAACCATACACGGTGGCGAGCAGTGGCAAGAGAGCACAATATGGGTTCCGCTTCCGCTTCCGCTCGCTCGCTGCGGACTCGAGGCAGACCGAGTCGACTGGTAGAGAGCGAGGCGGAGGAGGGGCGGGACGAGCCGACGCAGAGGCGGACGCGGACGGCGGAGGCGGACGGCGGAGGCGGACGGCGGAGGCGGTCGGCGGAGGCGGACGGCGGATGCGGAATGCCCTGCTTACGAGGCCCGCTTCATGGCCCAGATCTCGAGCTTGCGGATGAGGCCCTTGAGGTTCTGCGGTGGCGCGGCGACGTGGAGCAAACGACGACGGGACGGGAAAGGGAGGTCAGCGTCCTGCGTTTGGTATGTACGTCGAGATGGCATCCGAGGAAGCGGCGGGGGACGCCGACTCACCTTTCCTCCGCGGTTGCAGTTGGCCTCGAGCCAGCGCTGCATCTCGTCGCGGCACTGGGCCAGCTCCGACAGGATCGGCTGGCCGTCGACCATGGGCGGGTTGAGGAGCACGTCAAACAGGCGCGTCCACATATCGACCTGCCAGTATCGTCGAAGGCTCGCTGTAATCTTCCACCGCCTCTCGCCGTCGTCGCCCTCGACGCTCGTCGTCTCAATGTAGCGCCCAAAAAGCAGGCAGAAGGCGACCGAGGCGACGCCGTGGTAGTCGGGCTGGTAGGTAAAGGGGCGCGCCTCGCGCATCTGGGCGCAGTCGCGCGGGTCCGGCGTCCAGTCGGCCACAAACGTCTGCCCCGACGGGTAGACGGACAGGTCGATGGCCCTGCCAAAGTCGATGAGCGTCAGGCCCTTCTGCGCCCAGCCCGACGAGCCGTCGGCCGTGTAGGCGTTCGACCACGTGGTGCCCACGGGCGTGTCGTCGAGGCGGAGCAGGCAGTTGTCGATCTTGAGGTCGCCGTGGATGATCTGGTGGCGGTGCAGCGCCTCGACGACCTTGAGCAGCTCGATGGTGAAGAACATCGCCAGCACCTCTTCGATGCCGCCCGCAGACGAGCCCGCCGACCCCATCGTCGCGACGCCGGCGGTGGCCGCCTGGTTGACCACCTCGAGCAGCGTCCCCTTCTCGCCGTACTCGAGCAGCAGGAACGACTCGTCCGCGTAGCCGACAAACTTGCGCGCCGCCACGATCGACGAGAGCATCCGGGCCTCGACCGTGTGCCGCACCTTGTCCAGGACGTAGAACTCCCACGGGTTGGGCGGCGACTCGGCCTTGACGGCCAGCATGCGACGCCTCTCTGCCTCCTCCTCGTCGACCGAGAGCGACAGGTCGGCCAGGTTGGCGGCAAAGCTCGAGTCGAGGTCGTCGGCGCCCTGGATGTCGAGGAGCTGCTTGCGCGTGGAGGGCGCAAAGTCTTCGAGGTCCTCGGCGAGGAACACGGCGCCGTAGCCGCCCTCTCCGATCTTTTCCAGCACCTGGAACTTGGCGCCGGCGATGTCGAGCAGCCAGTCCTTGCCCGACCCGCGGCTCCCGTAGGTGGACCCACCGACCGAGCGCCTGAACTCGGTCTTGGATCGCTTCTGGAGGCAGTCCAGGCGCCCGTCGGCCGACTGGCCGCTCAGGTCGACGTACTGAGCATGCTCCGAGATGGGCGGAGAAAGGCGATCGAGGATCGCTGCGAGGATGTCGGCGTCGACGGGCGAGCACGGGTTGGCGAACTGAATCGACACGGCCGAGGACGGGCCGTGCTCGGCTGCGCCACGGGGCTGCCGTTGTTGAGCGCTGTCGCTGTCGGCCTCGGTCGACGCTGCCTGCGGCGTTGAGACGTCGCCACTTCGCGAGCGGTCCCGGTCCTCGATGACGAAAGACTTGCCCATCTGCTCGTAGCTGCGGAGGTTGCCCGTCTCGTCGTCGACCTCGCGAGCGATCGTGAGCCCCTCTGTGAGCTCGAACTGGGCGTCTCTCCCCCAGCTGGTCCGGTCCTCGTGTGTCCGCGTCGAGTGTTCGTGGGAGGTCGAGCCGAACGAGGACTCTGCCGCTGCCCTACCGTCTTCGTCGTCGTCAAAGCACGCCGGCTGGGAGCGGTCGAGCAAGCGCCCATCGGTCGCGGCCGAGCACGAGGTGTCGTCCGCCCGGCTCTGCAGGAACGCCTCCTCGCCCACCTCCGAGGCAAGCTCGGCAGGCTCGGCCGTCTCGCCGCCCGGCTGCTCTCCTTGCGGTTCCGGCGAGTCTGAGGATCGGGTGTGCGAGCCGTGGGCGACAGCCTCATCCTCGTCGGCTTCATCTTCCTCGTCGTCCTCGTCGTCTTGGAACACGCGGCTGCGGCTGGTTGGTCGGCTCGCGGTGGCAGGCGTCCTCGTGCTCTGACTGTAGGCCGTATAGCGCGTCATCTCGTACGTGGCCTCGGTGATGGGCGTGAGGGGCTGGAACGGCGCTCGGAAGTTCTCCATGTTTGGCTGGTACTCGTCGTCGCCTTCGGAGTGGTCGCCGGCGGCCGCCGAGTCGTTGTCGATGGGTTCATGCTCCGGGTCACTGCCCGACTCTTCGTCTTCTTCCTGCATCGGCTCGAACGTGCGGCGTGCAGCTGCAAACCTCGATGCCGGTGCCGGAGTCTCGAACGGCTGGGATGGACGCCTCGTCTCGGGCTCGTCCATGTCCCTTCCGGGTTCATCGACGGTCCTTTCAGGCTCGTCGGCGGTCCTTTCAGGCCGGCCTTCGTTTTCATCCTCGCCATCGTCCTCATCCTCGTCATCGTCGCGATACACGGGCTTCGAGGCGCCAGCACCGAGCGGCCTGTTGCCGAGAGGCGTCCGCATCGGCGTCGCCGTTCCAAGAGGCGTCCTCGTACCGAGTGCCGTCTGCCGCAGGGGGGTAGCACGGACGCCGGCATTCTCATCGCGGCTGTGGGGTGGTCTCTGGTTCTCGTCGGTCTGCGGGGGCGTGGCAGATGGGTGCCTGCCGATCGGCGTGGGTGTCGGCGGGATGTCGGCAGACGAGAGCATCATCATCCTCGGCTTCTTGAGCGACGCCGGTGGGAGCGGAGCGACGACGTCGTCCTCTTCCTCGCTGCTCTCGTCGCTGTCGTCGTCGTCCGAGTCCGAGTCGGTGTCGTCGCCGTTGAACATGTTTTCCACCTCGAGCATGGTGGCCTTGGTGACGAGGGTAGGGCTCATCCGGTGACGCATCGTGGCGTCCTTGCCATTCTTCTTCTTCTTGGGCCGGAGGTTGAGGGCGACGGCATTGTTGAAGCTGTTGTCGGGGTCAAAGACGTCCCGCGACGGCATCGTGCTGGTGGGCTCGGAGGCGTGTGCGTGGACGGGTGCTTGTGCCTGCCCTGCGGGCTTGGCCTCGACCTCGGCCGCCGTCGAGGGCGAGGGCGAAGGCGAAGGCGAAGGCGAAGGAGAAGGCGAAGGATTCTCGTTGGCTGCAGGCTCGGATCGGGCTGCCTCCCCCTCGGCTGCATCCTCGACCGGGGCCTTCTCGAAGTCGGCCGGTCGGTCAGGGGCCTCAGAGGACCGAGGTTGATCTTCAGGGAGTGGCGCGTCAGCCGATGCAGCGTGCGGCAGCCACTGACCCTCTGACTCGTCGAGGTAAAGCCAAGGGTCGTCGTCAGCCGTGATGGCTGAAGAGAGGCCGCGCTGAGCGGCGATCAGCTCTTCCAGGCACACCTCGGCCGATGAGCCGTGACTGCCGCTCTTGCTCTTGGCGGCATCGTCGAGCGAGGCGATCCCTGGGTACAAGAGCATCAAGGGACACGCGTGCCGTTCCTGCTTGGAGCTCGACGAGCTCGTCGCCGAAGCGGCCGCGGCCGAGCGAGAGCTTGACGACTTGCTGCCCTTTCGCGCTCGTTCGCCAGAGGTCGAGCTGCTCGCAGCCGACCTGTCGCGGCGCGACTCCTTGCTGGCGCCGTTCTGCGCGGCGTCTCTGGACGACGACGACGACGGCGACGGCCTCCGCACATCGCCTGGGTTCAGGTCGGCGGCGTCGGGCACGAGCTTGGTGTTGGGCTCCCAGTGCATAAGGGGGTTTCTTCGCAACAAGTCGGTCTCCGTGGGAGCTCGCGCAGACTCAGACTTGGCGAAGAGGTCTTTTGGGTTCAGGATCCTGTCGGCGGGTGCCGTCCCCGCTGGTCCGGCGTCTTCGTCGTCCTCGTCCTCCGAGTCTCTGAAGACGGCCAGGCCGCTGCTCGGCTTCTTGGGCAGGCCTCCAGCCGCGCCGATCTTGAGGCCCTTGGAACCGAGCCGGTCCGGCTGCAGGTTCTCTTGCGAGCGGGTGGAAGCGGTGCCGATGTCGTCCCAGCCGCCAGACGAGGGGCCGCTAGGCCTGGCGCCGCCCCGCTCGTCGTCGTCGTCCTGGAACACGGCGAGCTTGCGCCCGTTGTTGACGAGGGGAGCGCTGCCGCTGGAGCCGATGGCGGCAATCTTGGCGCCGGCGCCGCGCAGGACGTTGGCAGAGTTGCTCTTGGCCGGGCCGACGGCAACGCCGTCCTTGTGGCCGAGGACGCTCCGGCCGCAGCTCGTCATGGCCGCCCGCAGCGCTTCCGAGTAGTTTTGCGGCGCGTGGCCCGATGCGCCCGTGGCGGCTTGCGGGTGCAGCAGGATGCGCTGCTGGTACTCGGCGTAGCGCCTCTTGAGCCGCTCGGTGGGAGTGGCGCGGCGGGCGATGCCCAGCTTGTAAGTCTTGTCCGCCTCGTCGAACCTGCACGGGGGGAGAGGAACGCCGGGCAACGGAGTCAGCATCGGCCGAGGCGGGAGAAAGACCAAGGCGCTGCTCTGACGGCACGTACATGTTCTGGCCCTCGTTGACGACGGCGAGCTCCTCGTAGAGGCTGGCGAGCTTTGTGCCGATCTCGTTTGCGAGGAGGAAGTTGTAGATGTCCCTGGCGCACTCGACGTTGCGGGCGTAGAGGATCCACAGGCGGAGGTAGCGGCTGTCGTTTGTGTACTGCTCCGAGTCCCTAAAGGTGCGCGTCGCGCGCTCGAGGAGGGGTACGAGGCCGCTCTCGTGGGTCTGGCCGGAGGGGTAGTTGTCGATGCACCACTTTACGTAGCGGGTCCAGGCCTCGAGGGGGTCGTCCGAGTCCTGGTTGTCGGTCGATGCGACGATCTGCTCAAACTCGGCCCTCTGTGCGGCGAGGGCGGCGTGGCGCTGCTTGTGCTGCATGGTGAGGGTGTTGCTAAGGGCGTGGGCGGACCTGCCCCGTGTGAGGGGCTGCACGTTTTCCTTCTGGCATTCGATGGCGCTGATGTCGATGATGGGCGTGGACGACGTCTGGTCGATCTTGGAGCCGCCGGGGGTGCGGTGGGGCGTCTTTAGCGGCGTGGGCCCCACTGAGAGTGCCGAGGGCCCGGTGCCGCTGGGTGTTGCGAGGGGCTGCTTGCGCGGCGTCTGCGTCGGCGGGCCCATGGGCGTGGCCGGGGGCAGGAAGGACATGTCGATGTCAATGTCGCTGGCCGAACGACGGCGATGAGTCGAGTCGGAACCGATGAGCGAGCGAGGGTGAGGCCAGGTCAAGAGATGAAATCGGGTCCGGCGAGGGTGGGCGCGCGGTCACACCATCCGCCCAGATGGATGGGCGTGGATGGTGTTTAGCGAAGGTTGCTCGGTGAGCGGGCGTAGACGCGATGCTGTTCCCCGGCTCGATGGGATGGCGATGCTTGATGGAGGTCGGTGTGCCGGTGATGTTGACGGTCCGAGGCGAGTTGTCGGCGGTGGTGGTCGCGGTGGTGATGGTGGTGGTGTTGGTGTTGGTGTTTTTGTGTTTCTTTTTTTGGCTGTAGGTTTGCTTGGACGAGGCAGGCCGGCCAGGCCCCCCCCCCCCGCGACCCTACGCGTCCAGGCCGATTAGCAGGCCGGCCTTTGACCACGGCGGGCCACCAACACAAACGCCGGCGACGCGCACGTGAGCCCCGTCCTTCCTCCACCTCGCCGAGAACGCCTTTGATGCCATCATTCACTCGGGGCCACGGCCACCACCACCACCACCACCGCCACCGCTCCCCTCCTGGCCACCGCCTGCCTAGACCGCAACCCTAGACCGGATGCTGCAACGTGTAGGCAGGCTACTACGACCGCCGACCACATCCCTGCTTGCCAACCTCGCCGTCCGCCCTCGCTCCCTGCCCATCGCCCGCTTGACCACGATGCCTCCAAAGAGAGCCGCGTCCACACGCGCCGCCGCAAAGAGGAGCGCGCCCCAGCAGCCACCGGAATCGCCTCCCAGCTCCCCGACCGAATCCAGCCAGGCCCCAGCAACCAAGAAGAGAGCGGCCGCAGGTGCGCCCTCCTCGGCCAACGGTTCCGCGCCCAAGCGCACAAAGAAGCCCAGCGCAGGAGGACTGCCAGACTCTCCCGCCGCGCCCTCGGGAAACGACACAACGGCACCAGAGTCGCTGCCCAGGAACACCGAGCTGCCCGAGTCGCTCCACTTCGACCGCCCACGCCACGACGACTCGCTCAGGATAGCCGCGTGGAACATCGTCTCGCTCAAGAGCTCCGAACCAAAGGGCCTCCTCAGGTACATCGACGCAGAGGACGCCGACATCCTTGTCCTCACAGAGACCAAGGTCAACGAGGTACCCATGCACCCCAAGCTCACGGCGCGGTACAAGCACCAGTACTGGGGCATCGGCAAGCAGAAGAGCTACGCCGGCATCGCCATCCTCTCCAAGCTCGAGCCCAAAAACGTCACCTATGGCCTCCCCACCCTCCGCGACGCAGACTCCAAGGGGCGCATGAGTGAGTGCAAATTGTAGGGAGGGGCAATGTCGCCCGCCCACAGAGCTGCTCGACGACCCTGCTCACCTTGTCGCTCTACCTGTCCCCTGCCCCTGCCCCTCGCCAGTCACCCTCGAATTTGAAAACACCTTCCTGATCGGCACGTACTGTGTCAACGCCGGCGAGGGCCTCAAGTCGATGGACAACAAGATCGCCTGGAACAAGGCGTTTGCCGAGCACGTCCGGCAGTGCGACCAGCGGAAGCCCGTCATCTGGTGCGGCGACCTCAACGTCGTCCACGACGACCGCGACCTGGCCCAGGCGAGCAAAAAGTGGAACAAGAGCCCCGGCTACACCCAGGTGAGTACCTCCCCTCGTCCAGGCGGATACATGTCGTCGGGCGCCATCAGCCAGCTGACGACGGAGGCTTTCTTCTGTCCGCCGCGGTGGCATCGACGACGACTCTGTGGCGCCCCCGCAGATCGAGTGCGATGCGCACCGGGAGCTGCTTGCGGGCACGGCCGACGACGGGGGTCGTCTGGTCGATGTCTGGCGCGAGCAGCATCCCGACGCCGTGGGCCACTTCACCTTTTACGGCTGGCGCGGCATGTGCCGATCCAAGGGCATCGGCTGGAGGCTCGACAGCTTCATCGTGAGTCGCCCCTGTGCTGACGATGTGGGGCGTGAGCCGTGGCCGTGGCCGTGCCCTGACCGGACTCGCTCGTTCCTTCTGTCCAGTTCTCGGAGAGGATCAAGGACCGCGCCAAGGAGTGCGAGATCCGACACGAGTGCTATGGACCCAGCGACCACGTCCCCATTGTGAGCAGAGCAGAGCAGGGCAGAGCAGGGCAGAGCGGGGGACCTTGCACCCGACGGCCCCCGACGGGGTTGCTTGCAGGCCCGCAGCCGAAGAGCTGACTGACGCCTCATCTTGACTGCATCGTCGTCGTGGATCCCCTCCAGTACTGCGACGTCCAAGGACCTCTGTAGACCCCCTGGCGGGACGATGCTTGTGCTAGATAGAGGAGGGAGCGAGAATAGAACAGCAATAGAGCCGAGTGCTGGTGGTGCGTAGCAAGGCCAGGCCAGGATCGAGCCGCGGCGTCGAGAACGTGGCGGGGTCGGTCGCGGACAGTTCGGATCCGCGGGTCGAGGCTGGGCGGGCGGGCGGGCATCGGGGAAAAATGAGGGGGTCAGCCGAGTCGAGGCGGCCGCGGCCCGGGGGGGCTGCGTTCTTCCTGACCGCCATCTAACCTTGCCCTCTCACCTCAGCTCACCTCAGCACAGCTCAACTCCACTCACCGTATCGCTCCTCTCCCCTCCGCTGCCGTGACAAACGATGTACAGAGCCACATCCACCACCACCGCCGCGACGTGCGTGCGGCATCAGGCGGTGCGGTCGTACAGCACCTCTGCATCGAGCAGCACAGTCCCGGCACGACGGAACCAGCGTGCGCGCCGGTCGTCGAAACCGTCCGTCTTCGAATCCACCACTCGCTCGGTCCCGCGCTTGGCCAAAAACACACCAGCACCGGCGACGAGGACGGACTGGACCTCGTCGCTCTGTGCCCGGGCGGCCGTACCCGTTCGCCTCGCACCGGCCCCCTCCAAGACGTACGATACGACGCTGCCCCCAAAGACGCCCCAACTCCCCACCCTGCGCGACGGCGTCAAGGCCCTCCGCCTCTCCCTACTCCCCGGCGGGAAACGCGTCTCCACCTCCCTAGGCCTCTACAACGCTCCGCGTGAACGGTCGAATCTCGAGGCCATCAAGAGGGACCGCACCCGCTCCATCAACGAACAGGTCGGTGGCGACTACGAGGCCTTCACCCTCCAAGGCCTCGGCTTGTCGCCCAAGACCAAGGATGCGGCCACCCGCGATGCCGGCATGGCCGTCTCGCTCAACGAGAGCCTGGGCAAGGACGGCAAAAAGTGGCTGGTCCACAAGGTCGAAAAGCTCGCAAAGGTCTAGCCAGGGGCCGTTCCCCCGCCCCCCTCCCCCCCTCTGTCGCCCTGGGAGATGCGCGCCTTCAGGCCGCGGATTGTCGGCCACGGCATCGACACGCCAGGCCCCTGTCCTTTCTGCGCCGTGTACGGCCGTCGCAACCTTGATCGAATCGTGCGACCTGTCTCCTCTCGTCACGACCGGGCAAGCAATTTCCTCTGAATTTCGGCCAGCATTTGACGAGTCAGGCGTCTGTGCGGGGGATGCTAGGCCCCGCTGCGATGGGATCAGTGGAACGACGCTGGACTCCTGTGGCTGTCGAATGCCGCCGTCGAGCCGGCCGCAGCTGCGTGTGCGTGTCCGTTGGCGAACGTGGCCCCGTCTGTGCCCAGGGACGGGGAGCCACCGGCGCCCGCCGCGACGAGCTTCTCGACCTGCACGCTGACGGCTTCGAGGCCGGCGATGCGCGTCTTGAGGAGGCGCTCGACTCGCCGCGCCACCGCTTCGGGCGAGACCCGGGCGCCATGCCGGTGAGACGGAGAGGGTGCAGGCTTGCTGGCGGCCGAGACGGAGCCATCCTCGCCCGGTCCGGGCAGGACTTGGATCCTCTGACATCGCAAACGACAGGCGAGCGGCCAACAACCGGTCAGCAAGTCGCGAGGCGAGGCCCAGAGGTGTCGCACCCCGCAGGTAGACTCACAATGGTGCCCACGAGGGTCTCTGCATCCTTTGGCCAGAAGCGTGGTGATGAATGCGACGCCACACCTTCGATCGTCTTGAGCTGCGCGTCGTGTTGCACCACAGAGCAGGCAGGCAGGCGGTCATTCAGTCAGTCAGTCAGTCAGTCAGCAGCTCGCCTCTGACGAGGGATCTGGGGAGTAGCCCGCGCACTCACCTCTTGGAGCGCCTCGGTCACGGCATGTGCCCGCTCCTCGCCCATGTCGAGGCAGAGGATCTTGCCCGCGTCGACCACCAAAGGGATCACGCTGGCCACGATGAGCGCCGCGATAAACAGAGAGGCCACGGGATCGAAGCCGGTCCAGCCGAATTTCTGGATCAGCAGCGTGCTGATAATGACGCCGACGGAGCCGAGCGTATCGGCCATGACGTGGAGGTAGACTCCCATCATGTTGTGCGAATGGCCATGCCCGTGGTCGTGGCCATGTCCGTGCCCGTGGTCGTGGCCGTGCCCGTGGTGGTCGTGGCCGTGGCCGTGGCCGTGCGAGTGTCCGTGGTGGTGGCCGTGCGAGTGTCCGTGGTGGTGGTGGTGGTGGCCGCCCATGGCAAACATGCCAAACAGGTTGACGCCCAGGCCCATGCCGCTGACAATCAGCAGCTGGATGTTGTTGTTCATCACCGGAGGCTCGATGATCCTCTGGACGGCCTCAAAGACGATAAAGATGCTGATGAGGATGAGAAAGATGCCGTTGGCGAAGCCCGACAGCGTCTCGACGCGCCCGTAGCCGTAGGTAAACGCCGAGTCCGTCTTCCACGTCGCCATGACGCTGGCAAACAGGCCCATGCCGATGGCGGCGCAGTCAAAGAACATGTGGATGGCGTCGCTGATGAGGCCCAGGCTGTTGGTCCACACGCCCCAGAGCAGCTGGACGCCCATAAAGGCCAGGTTGAGGCACAGGAACTGGAAGATCTTGCGCGAGTCCGGGTTGGCGAGGATGGCCTTGACGTGGCGCCGCGTGGCCGAGAGCGCCGAACGCGTCGAGACGACGAGCTCGTGGAGCGAGCTGACATCCGCCGACGAGTGCTGCGCCGCGTAGGCCTGCGCGGCCGGCTGGCCAGCGGGCCCGGCGCTGGCGCTGAAGCGGGGCTGGAAATCGGGCGAGGTTTTGAGGATGGTCCTCAGCGCCCAGCCCACCACCAGGGCGATCAGCGTCTGGCTCCACGTCGCCTTGACGCCGAAGGCGACGTAGCCGACCGTGGCCGATGCCAGGACCGCGATGGGCCACCCGTGTGCGACCCTAGTGCGAACGGCGGCGTGGTTCTCGAGCGCCGTCGAGACCAGAGGCTCGAGCACGAGGAAGCTGAGGGCCAGCGCCACAAACGCGGGGAGGTGGCCGGTGGAACCGCCGGCGCTGCCGGGGGCCAGCACGCTGATGCTCGGGAGCGTCGCGAAGCCAAAGAGCTTGCCGACGAGGCCCAACGGCAGGAGCACCGAGGCGACAAAGACGGTGGCCACGACGCCCGCCTTGCGCCTGCCTCCCGTGTCCCTCGAAGCGGACAGGAGCGCGCGCTCCTTCTCCAGCGTCGCCAGCGCAAAGAGCAGCAGGTACGCATGGCCGAGCAGGATGCCGGTGACGGAATACGATGCGACGCTTGCCTCGGCCTCGAGCGCGGCAGAGGCGGCCCTCAGCTGAGAGGGAGAGGCTAGGCCAGCGGGCCTGTTCCTCTGCATCGAGTAGGGCATGTCGTCGTCGAGGTCCAGGCTGCCAAAGCTGGTCGGCGGGGACGAAGGCACTTCATGCTGGGCGGCGAAAGACGAGAGGAACGAGACTGCGAGGGCGAAGAGTATCGTGTACCCGCCGTAGCTCTGTCAAAGAGGGTCGTGCGGAGGGGCAGGGCAAAGCGAGAGAGACAAGAGTGAGCTCTCCAGTCTGCGCCCCGGCCCTTTGACGACATCGGCTCACCCTTCCGCGGAGGGACTTTGCGAGGTCACCGGCCCAGATGTCGCAGTACTGTGAAAAGATGATGACGCTGGGGGGTGCGGCAGAGGTGGCGGCGCCGGTGTTCGTTGAGCTAGGCGAACCTTCCACTGCAACGCTGCCAGGGGCCCGGTCCTTCGACTCACTTTGTCGCGCTCAGATGGCCCACTGCGAGGAGCCATAGCATGAGCTGGGAAAACATGACGAGCGAGAGGATGGCGAGGCGCCGCTTGTCGACCCTCTTGATGGCGGGCGCCCACTCCCACACGCGGAACCAGGCCGCCTGTCCGAGGGCTGCGATGATGAAGACGGCGGACGCAATGGCCCATGCGCCCGTGTGCTCGGCCTGGGCATGGGAGCCGGCGGCCGAGTAGATGCCATCTTCCCGGTCGGGCCAGGGTGCCGAAGCCGGCGGAGCGTGTATCGATTCCGAGTGTGCGTCCCAGAGCCATACCTTGACGAGGAGGGCGGAGGACGCGAGGAGGGTCTTGTCGAGCAGCAGGGCGAGCAGGAGGTCGGTGGGGATGCTGCTGCTGAAGGCGGCGTTTGGATCTGCGCTCGAGTCGAGCTTGACCTTGCCCATGGTGCGTGGGTCAGGCCCCTGGGAGGCATCGGGACGATACGCCGCCGCCATGGTCGCGGTCGAGCACCAGAGGCGTGGCGGTGTGTTCGGAGGACGTGGCGAGGCAAGCTAGCGAGCGAGCGAGCAAGCGAGCTCGGTGAGGGTCCGTCAGCAGTAGAGTGCGCCGAGATCGGAGATGATGGTCGTCGCCGAGGACATCGAGAGGCTGTCTGGCTGTGCAGAAGGACCAGAAATAGATCGGGGAGGCCGGGGTATGGACGTCGAAGCCAGGGAAGTCGAGAGGTCGAGAGGAGACGGTGACGGGAGAGTGGGTCAGGGTGAGAGAGAGTGGCGCTGGAGGTGGGTTGCCAGACGAGCGGCCTGGCGGGTTCGAGGAGCGCGAGAAGCAAGAGGCAGGAAGGTGGCCGGTGCACCCCCCTGGAGCCAGCAGGCAGCAGGCGGTCGGCCTCTTCCGAAGTCTTGCCTCGGTCTTGGCTTGCCTGCCTGGCCTGCCAGCAGCGCGGCAAAGCCAGGCCCGACCGCGGAGAGGGGCAAGGAGGGAACCTTTGCGGTCATCCCGGCTCGACGCTCTCTCTCTCTCTCGGCCGATTTGCGTCCAGCCTGCGCGCTGCCAGGCCTGCCAGGCGGCGTGGGGTGGAGCTGGGCAAAGTCGGCCTGCACCCGCGCCTGCAGCCCGAATGTCTGTCTGCCTTCCAGCCACCATCCATCTGCCAACCCACGACCCTTTTGCCGCCGCCGCCGCCACCACCGCAAAGGCCACCGCAATCCCCGCTGCAAGATGGGCAAGAAAAAGAGAAAGGCACCCCAGCTCGAGGCGTGGTGCTGGTACTGCGAGTGAGTGGCGCCGCCTCCCCTGGCCCTAGCCCTCGGCCCAGCCCTCGGCCCGGCCCTGGCTAGCACGCCATAGTCGACGGAACGCTTCGTCTGACCTGACCGACTCGCTTTGCTCCTCTTGGCTTCGCCACCACCTTGTGCAGTCGCGAGTTTGAAGACGATAAAGGTGAGGCCGGCCATCGAGCGCTTCCGTCGAGATGGCTTGCTGTTGCCGTGTGGCATTGCACGCTGAACCGAATGTCTCTTCTTTCTCCGCCCCACAACGACGACGACGACGACGACGACGATGACGACGACAGTCTTGCTGCAGCATCAAAAGGCCAAGCACTACCGATGCCACCTCTGCCCGCGTCGGCTGAATACGGCGGGCGGTCTCGCCGTCCACCTGACGCAGGTGCACAAGGCCGAACCCGAGAGGTGAGCAGCATTCCGCCGCCACGCCATCCGTTCCTGTCGCTGCCGCTGCCGCTGCCGCTGCGCTCCCTCCCGTCCATCGTCGGCTGACCTTCTCTCCTCCCGCCTCGCCTCATCCCTGCCTCCCTCCCTCCTTTCTGCAGGCTGGAAAATACGCTACCCGGTCGGGACACGTTCGACATTGAGATCTACGGCATGGCCGGAATCCCGGAACGCGACCTGATGGAGTGGAAGGCGCGCCGCGCGGCCGCCGCGTCCAAGGGCGGCGCCGGGGCCGGTGCCAACTCGGCGGCCAACAAGCGGCCGCGCATCGAAAAGATGGTGCTCTCCGTCGAGGCGCTGCGCATCCAGCTCGAGGCGCACAAGGCCCTCATGAGCGGCAAGACGCCGTCGCACCCTCCGCCGGGCTTCGGCCCGCCGCCGCCCGGTATCGCCGCGCCGCCGTTTGGCGTTCCACCCGCGTCCGTACCGGGGCTTTACAACCGTCCGCCCCCCGGATTCCCGCCTCCCAACATGGCCGTACCGCCGCCCGGCATCCCGCCCTATGGCGTTCCACCACCCGGTTTCGCAGGGGTACCACCCCCCGGCGCCGTCGTACCTCCGCCAGGAGGAGGGATGGGCTTCCCGCCTCCCTCGTCTTCGTCGTCGTCGACGATGGCCCCGCCGCCGCCGATGGCCAACTTTGGTGGTGCATCTATTGGCGGCGCGCCCTCGCCCCACCAGAGCGCCATCAAGAACGGGCTCAAGAGCCGTCTCGTCTACGCCGACCCGGAAATCAGCCCCGAGGAGAAACTCGCACGGACCGTCAAGTACCTCTACCGCGATCCCCTGGACGGTGCGCCGACGCAGGTCCCGGCGCAGGGAGAGCGCAGCGCTTCGGCTGACCCCGCCACTGCTGCTGCTGCTGCTGCCGCACCGGCCACCGAGATGGAGGCCAAGGTCGAAGGAGGAGGGGAGCCACCGGCTGGACAAGACGCTGCGAGCCCCGCCGCTGCTGCTGCCCAGTCGCCCACGCAGGCCAACAAGGGCGGGAGAGCGAGGGCGTCGGATCTCTTCTAGCGCGTCGTAGTATCGCGACCGGCCCACGCCATCGACCGTCGACGACAGCATGCTCTTCAAACTTCGAATTGATTGTCCTGTGTCGCCTCCTATCCGCCGGTTGTGCGTGTCGCCCCTCCGCGCCTCATCCGCCAATGTCTATCCTCAGGCCCATGCTCCGATCCTGCTCCGTCCTGCCGCTGCCCCTCGTCTCCCAGTGCCGCTCCTGGGCCGGGACGATGACGAGGCCCGCCGCAGTGCCGCTTCCACCTTCGCTCCCGCCGGCGCCGCCGCTGTTGCCGCCCTTTTTCGAGTACGAGACGGTGCTGAGGATGACGAGGAGGGCGCCGACGACAAAGCCGCCGGTGAGGGCGAAGCGGTAAAAGAGGACCGAGATGGCAAAGCTGAGGAGGATGCTGAAGCTGACGGCGAAGCCCTTGAGGATGTTGTCGGCGTGCTTGATGACGAGGGCGACGGCCAGGCCGCCCGTCACCTGGAGCGCCACGGTGGCCACGGCGCTGGTGCCAAAGTGGCGGAAGGGCGCCGCCGCACCGTAGCGCAGCGCGTGGGCGAGCACGGGCAGCGACGCCGGGACCAGGCTAAAGGCCGACAGCTGGACGTTGCGCGTCCACAGGTCGCACGCCGACGTCTTGAGCACCATCTCAAAGTAGACGCCCGCCAGGCCCGACGTGAGGCACGCCGCCAGCACGGCGAGGAAGCCCTTGACGGGCGAGGGGGCGTGCGACGCGCGCGTGCTCTCCTCCATGCTCATCGAGATGCGCGTCGTGTCAAACGATGGCGACGACGGAGGCTGCTGCTGCTGTCGCAGCCGGTCGCGTGGCCTCGACGATGAGTCGACAAACATCGACGAGCCCATCATGCCGCTGCCCACCTTGACGCCGCTGCCCATGCCGCTGCCCATGCCAAGCCCGATGCCGCGCCCGCCGCTGCTGCTGCTGCTGTCGTCGTCGTCGTCGTCGTCTGTGTAGCGGAGCGATGGGTAGCGGTCGGGGGGAGGTGCGCCGTGGGCGTCAAAGGGCGGAGGAGGAGGCGGGGGTGGCAGGTTGGCGGCGGGCCCAGCCGAGATGTGGCCGTAGCCGTGCGACTGGACCTCAAAGGGGACGAGGCCAGAGACCGACTGGCTCTGGAGCTGCACCACGGCGACGCCGAGGGCGAGCATGGCGAGCGAGGCCCACTGCCAGGCGCCGAGGCGCTTGCGCAGGAGGAGGATGCTGAAGAGGGCGGTGGTGAGGATCTTGAGCTGATAGGCGCAGATGAAGACGGGCGGCTCGAGGTTGGATACGGCGACAAACTGGAGGTTGTTTTGGAGCACGTAGAGGAGGGCCGGGATGGCGAGCTTCCAGCAGTCGTGGCCGAAGAGGTCGTCGACGACGGCCGAGAGCGTCCGGGGTCGGAGGCCCGGCGACAGCAACGACGACGAGGAGGGTGCGAGGGGCGAGCGGATCTCGTGGAGCGAAGGTTTGCGGTGGCGGCGCGAGGGGCTCCTGGGCACGGGCTTCTCGCGGTCGTGCTGGCGGTGCGAGATGGGGAGGTAGGAGGTGGCGTGCTGGGCTGGCGTCGACTCGCGGTCGGGCGACGAGACGAGCGCGAAGGCAAACGAGATGATGCACTTGAAGAGCTCGGTGAGGAGGACGGCGGTGGGGAAAAAATAGGCGTGGCCGATGGGTGCCGAGACTCGCGAGTGGTGCATGACAACGCCGAGAGCGGTGTTTTGGACGACGAGGATGAGGAGCGAGAGGTGCTTGAGCGAGAGGCCGAGCAGGAGCGGCGGGTGTGCGGCGTCGAGCGCAGGCATTGTGGGCGGTCGAGGCGAGGGGAAGGGACTGGGAAGGGACTAGGAACGATGAGGAAGCCGTGAGGGTTCTGCGGGAGGGGTATCGAATGAAGCGAGGGCGGGGCAGGCGACCGAGAGGGTGGCGGTTTGCGCTCGGAAGCAGGATCTTCTAGGACGCTGCTGCTGCTGCTGCTGCTGGCGATGAGCAAGAGGGTTGGGCGTAAGGAGCCATGGTCCTGTGCAGGCAAAAGGATGGAGAGGTGGCCGCAATGAGCGCTGCTGGCGGTGGTGGTGGTGGGTTGGCAAGCAAGCAAGCAAAAGCAAAAGCAAAGCCAGCAGGCAGCCAGCCCCCCTCGCTCGCCCTCCCACCTCGGAGGCAGCCAGCGCCCTTGTATCGGCCACCAAGGGCCGCCGGGCAGGGACTATGACTGCAGCGCACCACCAAGCTGGCATGCACGGCCGGCTTGGCAGAAGACGGCCTGACTGCACCGACGCCTCCTTGGCTTTGGTCGCGCTGGCCACGGCTCGGCCTGGGCTGGCCTGCTCGCTCGGGCGCCAGGCCAACCACCTGGTCGGGCCATGCCGAAAAAACGGCGGCGTGGGCCGGGCACGCTGTCCAGCTCAAGCCAGCCAGCCAGCCTGCCAGCCAGCCTGCCTGCGCCTTGGGCTGCTGCCTCTGCGCCCCTGCCTCTGCCCCTGCCCCTGCTCGCAGCCTGGCCGGCCCCATGTACGCTGCTAGCCTCCACACGCGACGACGGGTGCCAGGCAAGGCAAGGCCAGGGTCCAGCTGCTGGCTCTGCTGCTGGCTCTGCTGCTGCCCGCCTGCCCGCCTGCTGCCCGCCTGCCTGCCTGCCCACCTCGTCGAGGCACTCCAACACGCCGTCGATCTTTGTCGCGCCACGCCTTTGCTCGCCTCAGCAGTTAGCAGAAGCCAGCGGCCAAAGTGAGTTAGCAGCCAGCAGCTCAGGAAACCCCATCGCATAGCCATCGTCGACGGCAGGCAGCCGGCATCAACCCGTCACGGCCTCCTCACCATGCATCGCCTCTCCTCGCCTCGCCCGTTCTGGCGTCGCCGCCGTCGTCGCCTCGACACCGCTGTGTAATCCATCTGCTTCGTCACCACCACCACCACCACCACCACCGTCGTCGCTGCTTGCTGCCCCCCAAGCTGACCCCGATCCCCCTCCCTTCCTCGCCAGCCCTTTGCGTGCTCCGACCATGGCGACCGCGACGCCTTTCTCGCCCGAGGTGCCCCCCTACCTCTCGCTCAGCATCACGCAGGCGCTCTCCCTGCCACATCCGTCCAGCCCGGAGCCAAGGCACCATCGCTCCGTCAATGCCCTCATCGATGCCAGAGCCAGGGCCAGTGCGAAGCCAGCCGTCGGCTTCACCCATCTCGACCACCAGACCACCCCCAAGTGGTCCTGCACCTCGCTCTGTGAGTACGGCCATCGCCATCGTCGCAGGCGAGCCAGAGCCCCAGCAGTACCCTCATCCTCTATTCCCTCCTCCCTCCTCGGCCCCTCTTCTTCGTCCCCGCGCAGCCTACGCTCAGCTTCGCAGCCTGGGCCTCGATGTCGCCCAGCTCATCCGCGACCGCCTCCCAGACGCCCAAGCAAGAAATGCAAAGTCGCCCAACGGAACCCCCCTCGTCGCCGTCCTCTCCCCCAGCGGCATCGACCTCTTTGCCCACATCCTCGCCCTCTGGAGGCTAGGCTTCGGCGTCCTCTGCATAGCGTGAGTCCCATCAAGGCCCCACGAGCCATGCCACCGCATCTCGTACCCTGCCCGCTCACAGCCCTTCATCGCCCGACCCTCGACACTGCTGCAAAATCCCGCCCGACACGCCAACCGCAGTCCAGGATCGCCGGCCGAGGCCATCTCCAACCTGCTGCGCCTCACCGACACCCGGGCGATCCTCGCGCACGCATCGCAGCTCCGAGCCGCCCAGGATGGCGTCGACCACCTCAGGGGCGTCCAGGCGGGCTCGGACGCACTCGTCGTCCCGATGCACGACGGTATCGCCTCGTTGCTCACTGATGGCCCCGCTGCCTCCGCTGCCTCTGCCGACGGCGGGCTTGCGCCAACGCCGTCACCCTCCGCGGACGATGCCTCTGGACCTGGCCCCGAAGACGTGCTGGTGACGATGCACACGTCGGGCTCCTCGGGACTGCCCAAGCCCATCTACCAGCCGCACCGCTTCTGGACCCAGTCGATGCTGACGGCCGCAGGCACCGACCTGGCCGCCTTCACCACCACGCCCCTCTTCCACGGCGGCATGTCCGACTTCCTCCGCTCGCTCCAGGCCGGATCCAACATCTACTTTCACCCGTCGGCCGCGCCGGGCGCCCTGACCGCCGCCGCCATCGCCCGCGCCGCGGCGGCCTGCCCGCAGCCCATCTCCTACTTTCTGTCGGTGCCCTACATCCTCGAGATGCTCTACAACGACCCGCGAGGCACGGGCAAGGAGCTGCTGCGCCCCATGCAGCTCGTCAGCACCGGAGGCGCTCCCCTGCCGCAGGAGCTCGGAGACGCCATGGTCCACGACGGCATCCGCCTCGTCAGCCGGCTCGGCAGCTCCGAGTGCGGCTTCCTCATGTCCTCCTGGCGCGACTTTGAGCGCGACCGCGAGTGGTCCTACCTGCGCGTGCCAGACGAAGAGGGCCACCGCCTGCTCCACTTTGAGCCCGTCGCAGCCGACTCGTACGAGCTGGTCGTCGACCCGACCTGGCCCGTCAAGCTCGTCTCGAACCGTGACGACGGCTCCTATGCCACGTCGGACCTCTACGCGCCCCACCCGACCAAGCCCCACACCTGGAAGTACGCCGCGCGCTCCGACGACACGCTCGTCCTCATATCCGGCAAGAAGACGACGGCGCCGCAGCTCGAGGCGCGGCTGCGCTCGTCGGACCTCGTCGCCGAGGCCATCGCCTTTGGCGCCAACCGCGCCATCGTCGGCGCGCTCGTCTTTCTCGCGCCGTCGCCGGCCGGCGACGGGGGCGGGAGCGAGCTGACCTCGAGGCCAAGCAGAAGGTGCTGGGCCGGCTGAAGCCCGTGGTCGACGACTACAACCGCGCCTCGCCGCCTCATGCCCAGCTCGCCATCGAGATGGTCCACCTGCTTCCCCCATCAGCGCTGGCCGACATACCCAGGGCGAGCAAGGGCAGCCTGCAGCGTGGCCGCGCCTACCAGCAGTACGAGCCGCTGATCGCCAAGATCTACAAGGACTTTGAAGAGGGCCGGTCGATCAGCCTCGTCCCGGAGGGGGCCACCGCCAACGGCAGCGTGAACGGCAAGCGGGCGCTCGCTGGCGACGAGCTGGTGGCGTGGCTGATCGACACGATCGAGCGACTGCGAGGTGGCGGCGGCGATGCTGCCGCCAGCGCTGAGCGTAAAAAGGACAAACCAATCTCGGGCGACACCGACCTCTTCGTCGCCGGCGTCGACTCGATCCAGGCTGCGCGGATCCGGGCCGCCATCCACCAGCACATCGAGCTCGGCGGCCAGCTGCTGCAGAAGAACGTCGTCTACGACTACCCGACGCCGGCGCTGCTCGCGAGCCACATTCAGGAGGTCGGCGAGGGGCGGCCCGGGGGCGCCGCCGACGGTGAGAGTGCCCAGGCGAAACGAGACGACACGCAGCACCGGCTGATGGAGCAGCTCGTAGAGAAGTACTCGAGCTTCCCCGCGCTCGACGTTGGGCCGAACCAGACGGGTGACGACGAGCAACGCGAGCTGGTCGTCCTGACTGGAGTGACGGGAGCCCTCGGTGCTCACCTCTTCGACCAGGTGCGGGCGCGTTGTGCCCAGGCGCCGGCACGCATCGTCTGCCTGGTCCGCGCCGAGGACGAGGAGCGAGCACGCACGCGGGTGCTCACGAGCCTCAAGGCTCGCCGACTGCCCAGCAGCGTCGAGCACGTCGAGGCTTCCGGCACGGCAGAAGTCCTGTGCCTGGCTGCCGACCTTGCAGCGTCGACCACGTGCGGCCTCTCCGAGGACCAGCTTCGCCAGCTGTCGGTGGGCTGCGGCCGGGTCACCACCGTCCACGCGGCGTGGGCTGTCAACTTTGTCGGCTCGCTTCAGAGCTTCGAGGCGGAGCAGATCGCCGGACTGCGCAACCTCATCCAGCTGCACCGCCGCCTCGCTGCTGCGGCCGGATCCAGCGACCGGTCGCACTTTGCCTTCTGCTCGTCGGTGGCGAGCATCCTAGGCGCTCCCCCGTCGACCGAGTTCCACACGGCGCTTTCCGTCGCCGGCGACGGGGACGAGGCCTACGCCGAGACGCTGCCCTCCTCGCCGCGGACGGCGGCGGCGATGGGCTACGCGCGGAGCAAGTGGGTGGCCGAGCACATCTGCGCGCGGTACGGGCGCCAGACGGGCGAAGGCTGCAGCGTCATGAGGTTCGGGCAGCTGTGCAGCGACACGGCGGGCGGCGTGTGGAACGAGAGCGAAGGCTGGCCGCTGCTGATCCGTACCGCCGACGAGGTGGGTTGCCTGCCCATGCTCGACGACGAACGGCTGGCATGGCTGCCCGTCGACGTCGCGGCCGCCTCGATCGTCGACCTGGTGCGGCCGTCGTCACCGGCAGACGCGGCGGGCGGCGATTCCGGCGATGTTCCGATCTACCACCTGGTGGCGGATGCCGCCAAGGCTGCGCCGTGGGAGTCGCTGCTGGTGTGGCTGTCGCGGGAGATGGACTTTGAGCGGGTGTCGCCTCGCCGATGGATCGAGCGGCTCGAGGCCGACGAGGAACGGATCAAGGCACGCGGGATGCTCGAGCTGTGGAGGCGCAACGTGAGTGACCAGCCGTGGGCAAGCCACAGCCGCAGCCACAGCCGCAGCCACAGCCACGGCCACGGCCACGGCCACGGCACTGGATGTCGGGCCGGGCTGAACGCCGGGGTGCGAGCCAGCAGGGCAGAGATAGCGCCGATCTTGCTGACGACGCCATCGCCTGCCCATCTCATCCCCACGCCGTCGCCCATCCTGACCGTCACGGCGCTTGACGTGCTCGCGCGCCCTTTCGCCCCGCCGTGGTGCGGTCCGTGCTCTCCGACCTTCTCTGTTTCTTCTGGTTGCCGGACGTCGCGTTCGCATGGTCGATCCGGCTGTCGGTTCCTTGCAGTATGCCGCCGCGCCATCGTCTGGGGGCGGCAGCAGCAGCAGCAGCAGCGGTGCCAAGCCGGCTCGGATCGATGCCAGCCATGCACAGGCGGGCTCGGCGAGCCTCCGATCCGCTCCGCCCGTCGACGAGCAGCTGATCCGAAGGACGGTAACCGCGTGGAGGCAGAGCGGCTTCCTTGGCCAGTCCAACTGAGGGCGCCCATGGGCATCAGCCTGAATCAACTTCACTCTACCAGCATCGGCAGACCACTGTGCACACGACTGCGGCCAGGCTTGTCAGGGCACTGCCTTGTCCATCGCTCTCGAGCTACCGGTACCGGTAGGGACTGCGGCGCTCGGCGAGCAGACGGCCGTCGATCGAGCCCAGGGACCGACTCAGCCGCTGTGTAAGTGTCGACTGAATCGCCTGGTGGTGGCTGGCTGGCTGGCTGACTCGCCAACCTGGCTTTGGTGAGGGATGCCTAGCGGGCAAGGAGGTCGGAAGGGAGCTGACCGAACGCGGTTCTTCTTACGGCCTCTGTCTGCCATTCTTGATTCTGTGCTCGAGACCCTCGACGCCCTGCCTGGTTGTGCGTGCTTGCCAGGCCAGGCAAGGCAAGGCGGGTTCGCATGGCGTCTTGGTGCCACCCGATAACGCCAGCCAGCGCGGGGCGGAGCGGGGCGGGGCGGGGCGCGATGTCGTGTGAGACACGCGAGATCTCGGTCAGGCGGCGCCAGAGGAAAGCAAGCAAGCAAGCAAGCAAGCAGGCAAGCGACGTTGGGTTGTGCGACGGCCGATGAGACCCAAGCAAGACTGTACCACCGCCTTAGCCGGCGTGATACGGTAGGCAGGTCTCAGCCAACTACAGGTGAGTTGTGTCGCCTCCGCGCCCATTCGCCGGCGGCCTGCGGTGCCACGATGTGCGGAGACCGCTCTGCTCGACCAAAGCAAGCAAGCAAGCAGAGGTGAGCTCGCCTGCGTCTCTCACCCCTTGGTCTAGCCTGGCCCGACCTGCCTAGCCTAGCCTGTATCTCTGGACTGACGGTGCTGGGCAGCAGACAGCCAGGCCAGGCTTTGCCAACCGAGGCTATGGAAAGGGGTCCTCCGAAGGTTGTCCAGGTCTTGGCGCTGCATGCACCGCACCCTTCGACAGGCGAGCGAAGCGGAGATCCAAGCGAGGCCATCGTCCCCCGGCGTCCTCCATCGACGGCCCCATCAGCCACCCCTCGCCATCGTCTGCCAGGTCTTGCCTTTCTGCACTCCCCCCCGCATCCGCCCATGCGCTCGACGTCCGGCAGTACATACGCAGCGTCAGCGTCAGCATGAGCATGAGCATGGCTCTGGTTGGGCCTTGCCTGCCTGGTCGACTCGATCCGTTCCTCCGCCAACCAGCTTTATCCGATAACGTGACCCGAGCGGGCCCGCACGCTAGCCCCATCGCACCGCACCGCACCCCTTTCGCCCTTTGCTCCACCATCGCTTCGCCCGCTGAGCCGCCGTTTGGAGCCTAGGCTAGGCCGAGGTGCCCGCTTGTCGGTTGACAAGCGAGCTCGCAGCTGCAGCGGTCTGAAGTCTTCCGAACCCGCTCGGACGGCCCGGCCACGACCAACTACGACGTTCTTCTTGTCGTCATCCTTCGCGCTCCCGAGCCACTTGTTGGTCTCGCAACGACCGCGGCGAGTGCGGAACAGATCAAGAGCGACGACGACCAACCTCCGGCAATCAAGCGTCCGCCCGCTAAGACTGCCTTTCGACCCGTAGCGCACTTTTCAGCGCTACCCGCCCCTGAACCGCTCTCGTCCGCGCGCTGCTCTGCGTGCGGGCTGCTCTGGCTCGACGCTTACCGTGGTGTACCTGCCTGCCCGCCTGATGCCAAATCCAGAACCATGCTTCGGAGCTTGCACACCGACGGACCCTCGTCGACCGGCTCTCACAGGCAAGGGCGCCGCGTAGCCCGTCCCGCGACTCGTCCCGGCTCACGCTAGTGCGCGCAACCCCCGCGTGCTGCTACCTAGCGGTAACGCTGCCGCTGCCGCTGCTGCTGCTGCTGCTGCTGCTGCTGCTGCTGCTGCTGCTGCTGCTGCTGAGCTGGGACGCTTCGACGGAACTTGCAGCACCCGCCGACCGAGACGATATAAGATGGAGCTCGGCCACGTTGGCCTCGATGGAGCAGCCTCATCCACCGCTCGGCCCTCCCTCCTCTCGCCCTCACGTACCTTGACGACCCCCTTGCTCGGACTGCTGCCTCGCCCTGTTACATTGGCCTCCCTCTCCCCGGAACGACCCCTGCTCGACTAGACACGACCCCTCCCCAGGCGATATCCACCATGAAGCTCACGCTCGTACAGATCACCACGCTGGCGCTCATGCTGCTGGCCGGCCAGGAGACGATGGCCGCCCCGACCAAGAAGCAGCGCCTCGTCGAGCCTGTAAGTCGTCTGGCAACGGAGGCTGCTGAGGTCGGTTCGACCGCCGTGGCACACTGAAGCCGAAGGCTGATCGCCGCTCTTGCCCCCGCCTCTCGGCCCGCAGAAACGCCTGCGCAACGACCTCAAGGTCAAGGACCTCCGCCGCGGCGCGCAGAAGCTCCAGGACATTGCGTACGCCACCAAGGAGCGCAACCGCGTCTTTGGCTCGCCCGGCCACCAGGCCACCGTCGACTACATCGCCGGCGAGCTGCGCAGCCTCGGCGGCTACTACGACGTCTCGCTGCAGCCCTTCACGGCCACCTACGCCGAGCACAGCGCCGAGGTGTCGATCGACGGCGAAAAGATCCCCAAGCCGTCGACCTTCACCTACTCGCCCAACGGCGAGTTCAACGACACGCCCGTCGTCCTCGTCAACAACCTCGGATGCGAACAGGCCGACTTCCCCGCCGCCGTCGAGGGCAAGGTGGCGCTCGTCAAGCGCGGCACGTGCCCCTTTGCCACCAAGGTGTCGCGCGCCGGCACGGCCAAGGCGGCGGCCATCCTCATCTACAACAACGCCCCCGGCGACGTCTCGGGCACGCTCGGCAGCGCCACCCCGGGCCCCGAGGGCCCCTACGTGCCCGTCGCCGGTCTGTCGCAGGCCGAGGGCGAGAAGGTCGTCGCCGACCTCGCCGCGGGCAAGCAGGTGCTGGCCGACGTCAAGCTCGACGGCATCGTCGAGGACCGCACCACCTACAACGTCATCGCCGAGACCAAGGGCGGCAACAAGGACCAGGTCATCATGTTTGGCTCGCACTCGGACAGCGTCGTCGCCGGCCCCGGCATCAACGACAACGGCAGCGGCTCGATTGCGCTGCTGACCATCGCCAAGAACCTGGCCAAGTACAGCGTCAACAACGCCGTCCGCTTTGGCTGGTGGAGCGCCGAGGAGTACGGCCTGCTGGGCTCCGAGCACTACGTGGCGCAGCTGACGCAGGCGCAGAAGGACCAGATCCGCCTCTACCTCAACTTTGACATGATTGCCTCGCCCAACTACGCCCTCGGCGTCCACGACGGCGACGGCAGCAAGTTTGGCCAGTCGGGCCCCGCCGGCTCGGCCGAGGCCGAGCACAACTTTGCGGCCTACTTCAAGGACATTGCCAAGAAGCCCATCATCGAGTCCGAGTTCAGCGGCCGCTCCGACTACGGGCCCTTCCTCGACGCCGGCATCGCCGCCGGCGGCCTCGACACGGGCGCCGAGGGCCTCAAGACCGACGAGGAGGCCAAGCTGTTTGGCGGCGAGGCCGGCGTGGCGTACGACGTCAACTACCACCAGGCCGGCGACGACATCAACAACCTCGCCATGGACGCGTTCGAGATCAATTCCAAGGCCATCTCGCACGCCGTCGCCACCTACGCCCTGTCGTTTGACTCGCTGGGACCCAAGACGAAGCGCGTCGAGAAGCGCGCACAGGGCCCCGAGGCGTCGTCCAAGCACAGCAACCACCGCTGCGGCGGCGACCTCGCCGCCATCTGAGCGGCTAGTAGGGGTATGAACGCAAAAGAGGCAGAGACACGCACGGATAGAAGGAGAAGGATGCGGGAAGAAGGAGGGTTAGAGTCCCGGCTCCGCGCGACGCCATGGGACCGGCTTTTGACGCACGCATCCAACCGAACGAAGCCAGAGTCACGACCTTTTTGTCACCCGCTACGAGCGCAATGCGATACTACTACTACCATCAGCTTGATCGTCACCCCTGTCTTGGTCGAGTGCATGTGTGGCAAGAGGGGCGGTCGTGTGGTGCCAAAGGTGCGCGCGAGAGAGACGATGGCGAGCAGACAGGTCGGTGTTGCGTTGCGCGAGCAAGGGCCTGGCGCCAAGGCACGGCACGGCCAGGCAAGGCGGGCGAGGCAGGGTCCAATGCCTGGCAGGCAGCAGCTGGGCTAGACCAACACCTTTCTGGCCGCCCACCGCCTGTCTCTTCTCCACCATCACCGCCGCCTCTCCCACGTCTGTCTCTTTCTTCCCCCCCCCTTTCGCCGTTCATCCGCCACTGTGGCCGTCATCGTGCCCGACAATGCGGTCCAGGGCGAAAGCACCGGCCGCACCGCCGATTCGCTACCATTACGAGCCCATCGGGCCCGGTGCGACGCAGGGTGCCCGGCCCGAGACGCACTACACCAGCTTCCGACGCACCCCTCTCGCAACCGCCGACGACGCCCCCGCACAGCGCGACCAGGACGACGACGATGAGAATGAAGAAGGGGATGGGGACGACGACGCCGACGGCGCCCGACGACGAAACGAAACCGCTGCTGCCTCGTCGTCGTCGTCGTCGTCCAAGGCGCTCGAGGGTCTGCCGGCAGAGGAGACATTCGAGATCGGCGACGTCGTCTACCTCCCCTCGTCCTACCAGGCTCCGCTCGTCGGCGTCCTCACCCACCTCTGGACGCTCGACGACCGCGTGCAGACCGAACAGGAGACCATCTACGGCGTAGTCAGGCTTCTGCACTGGCCCGAGTGGATGAGCACCATGGCCAAGCGCAGGATGGCCGGCCTCACCAGCAAGGTGCGTCCTCCCACCCTCCTTTATTTGCCTTGATCTCTGCTGCGCCTGCCCCGCTGATGCTCCTATCCTACCGTCTCGTCTCGCGGCCCTGGCTTCGCAGAACGAGGTCTACTATACGCACAAGGCGCCCAAGGTGTCGAAGCGCAGAACGCAGACGGCCATCAAGACGGGCCAGCAGGTCGACGACTTTGAGGCAGGCCCGGCGCTCCACGACTACTCGTTCGACGTGCAGGAGATCATCGCCAAGGTCTCGATCCATCCCTCGCAGGACGAGTGCGACGAAGCCGTTCAGCAGGCCACGGCCACGGCCACGGCGGCCGCCACCGACACCGACACCGACGCCGACGCCGACGCCGACGCCGCCGCCGGCGAGTCGGCACCAGGGGATGCCAGGCACTCTCGGCGGTCGAAGAGTCAGGTCGCCACCGCATCGAGCGCCGCGTCGCGCCAGCCCAAGACGCATTGCATCTACAAGGGGCGCTCGTTTCCGACTCACCTCTTCTGCGAGCGCGCCGTCGACCCGAACCGCGAGCTCTTCTGGAAGGTCGACTGGTCCAAGGTGGTGCAGCGCGGCAAGCAGGACCGGCGCTGGGACCTCGTCGACCAGAGCAGCGACGAGCTGCGCGCGCTCACCGACCAGGGACAGAGGGTGAACGACGTCGTCGAGGAGATGACGGCGAGCCGGGAACTGCAGAGCTCCAGCCGAGGATCGGCGGCGGGAACGCCAGCCAAGGCGGCAGCCGGCGCAGCAGGCGCACCTTACACGCCGAGGCGCCGGTCGCGGCTCGCACAGGAGACGAGCGCATCCGCCCTCTCCACTCCGACGACGGGCCGAACCCGACGGGCGGCCGCAGCGGCGTCGACGCCTTCCAAGACGTTCAGCATCGCCTCGGAGGGCTCCGTGACGCCGAGCGAGGCCGAAGACGGCGACGACGACGACGAAGACGATGGCCGTCGGGCCCGACACAGGGACGACGACGACGATGAAGATGCGAGTGGTTCAGACGACGATTTCAAGAGCCTCTCCGAGGGCGGCGACGACGATGAGGACGATGCCGAAGTGGGCTCCGGCGAAGACGACGACGACGACGACGACGATCTGCTGCGGACGCCGTCGCGCAAGCGGGCACGGTCGTCAAAGGGGCCAGACGACCTGATGACGCCGAGCAAGCGGAGGGTGCTGGCTACGCCGCGAAAGACGCTGCTGGCGCTCAACAGCCCGGCCAAGGCGACGGCCACGCCGCGCTCGCGCGCGCGGCTGCTGGGCATCAAGGCGCGCAACCTGCCGCACCCGTCGCTGCCGGCGCGCCCGGCCAAGATGTCGTCGCTGTCCGGCGAGGAGCTGCGCCAGCTGTCGGCCCAGGAGCGGG